TATATTTGTCGATGATGATGATGATGATTGTTGTTGTTGTTGTCTTGCTATTATTATTATTATTATTATTATTATTATTATTATTGTTTTTATGTTGTTATAATAATAATAATTATTATTATTATTATATTATTTAGCGATACTAATTTCTGCGGGAATGTATCTGCGAGAATCATTAATTCATTCGCAAAACGATTTCGAGTAAATTAATTAATTTAGTATTTGGATTCCTCGTATTACGATATTTCGCTTGAAATCGTGTAATTGACGTATGGTCCGGTCCGGTCCGGTACGGTCCGGACCAACCCTGCCCTGCCCTGGTCTGCCCTGCCCTGCCCTACCCTGCCCTTCCATACCCTACCTTTCCATCCCTTGCCTTAACTATCTATCGAGTGATGTGTCCTTGTAATATTATAATTACAGTTAATATTGTATACAGGTTAACGTTTTTTGTTATATCAGTGAAAAAAATTATTTATCTACATTATCTGCTTAAAGTTTTCCGATAAATTAATTTTAAAATATTTATTATTGAAAAAAGAAATGAATTTTCTCTTTTTGAAGTAACCAAAAGTAGAGATTTTTTTATTAGAAAATGAAAAAAAAAATACTTTATAGAAAATTGAATATAAAAATGAAAGTTTTTTAATTCGTAAATTATGCAAAGGAATTTCAAACATTCGATAAGATAATAAACACTTTAAGTGCTACTTATGTTAGTTTCTAATAAATAAAAAAGAAAAATTTATGGAGAAAAGAAATTGTCGTTGCTTGCAATGGGTTTTTTTTTTTTTTTTTTTTTTTACAAAGACACACGCGTACACGCTGTCGAACAAGTTTTTGAACTTATTTACGAGCTAATCATTTTTTTTTCTTTCTTTTTACCCTCTCCCCTCCCTCTCTGAGATCTTTAACGAGCCTGTAATAAAGCTAATAACTAAAATCCTTTAGCGTAAAATCAGAGTTGTTGCTCGTTAAACAAAAAGAAACGTACGAGCGTAGATTTCTTCTTCGGTTTTCCAATATTCATTCTCGATGTGTGCCAGCTGTCACTGTTTATCGAATAGGAGTAATAGTACCCTTTCTATTTCTATCTCCTATTTTTTTTTCTTTTTTTTTTTTAATTTCTTTCTCTCACACACAAACACACACGCATACTATTTCGATACAAATTATAAAACTTAGTATGACATTTAACGAGCTACGAACTTTCTGTTAGATAATTACAATAATAAACGATGGAATGCAAGCAATATACTTCGCATTTTTTTTTTTTAAATAAAATATCTTTGAAGAAACGACAACATTAAACTAATAATAATAATAATAATAATAATAGTAGTAATGGCAACACGGACAAAGATGATAACGTGACGACAAAGTTGAGGGACTATAACTACGATTACTATTACTACGATGATGATCATCATAAGAATAATAATAACAATAATAATAATAAAGAAAGATTTTAACGAAGCAAAATGTAGAAAATATTTTCCATATGGGTTTTTGGTTTTACGTTTATTATCGAGTTTTGCTATAAAGACAAGTATATGATGTGTATGTAACTTGATGTGTCGTCATGGTCGATCGATGATGATCAAACCTACTATCCATCTATATATTTACACATATACATATATATGTGTATGTGTGTATGTGTAAGAGAGAGATAGAAAGATACATAGTGTTATAGTGAATTGAAAAAAAGCTAATAAACGTCGACATGTTTTCCGATTAAACGTGAATATAACCAAAACCGAAACGTCTATCGATGTTGACTTTCAACGTAATATATATATATATATATATATATATATATATACATAGAAATAGTATATAATACATTTATATATAAAGAGACATGAACGTAGTTATATAGTAGAACGGAAGTGATCGTTCACGTCGATCAGGTCATTTTATCTTTGGAATAAGTTTACAGTGAATCGTATTTCTTGTTTATATACGTTGAGTTACTACTATTACTCGTTCGTAAGTTATAGTAATGGTCTTTTCTAGAAGTCGTTTGGTATATTTCTTTTTTTTGTTCTTTCATTTTCAAGTGGAACACCCGTTATAGTCGATCTCACCATAGGCATGTAGAATGCCTGAGGCTTTACCCCTCTCCTCCCTTTTTACTTTTTCCTACCACAACCAGCACTACCCACCCTCATCTTCTCAAAGCCATCATCTTTTGTGCTTCTTTTCGGCGCCTAATTGTATCGGGTGTCTTAATCAGCGTGTAAGCTACTAAAGGCAAAACGTCGAGTAAAAAATTTGAAAAGAAAGAAATGAAAAGAATGAAAGAAAAAGTGGGAGTGAGAGAGAGTGAGAGAGACAGAGAGAGAGAGAGAGAGAGAGAGAATTTCAGATCTGTTCGTTCTGCATCTCAAAGGCGCAATTTAAAAAAGTATGTTAAGCCTCTGGCATTATGCTACGGGTAAATACTTATCCTCCGAGGGATCCGACGGACATGAATTTAGATTATGGGGCTCTTGTCAGCATTGTATCTAACCATCTTCTTTTTATTTTTATTTTTCTTCTCTTTTTTTCTTACTTTCTCACTTCTTTCCTATATAAACGTTCTTTTACCTATCTAGCTAAGTATAATAAAGCATCTTGGAACATATATATATATATATATGTTATTGTATATGTATGTATGTATGTACGTCTTTGAGATCTTTGAAACGTGTAGGTAGAAATTCAACCTTTTCTTCCTTTTTTTTTGGCCACGTTCTCTTATTCTCTTTTTAATATATATATATATATATATATATATATATATATATATATATATATNTATATATATATATATATATATATATATATATATATATATATGTATGTATATATGTATATCAATCTTTAAAGATCCTCATATTTCGTTTCTTTGGATATTCAAATGCGAACACGTTGCTATAAAGTTTTCTGTCATTACTTCTTAAAATTAGATGTTACTCTGTATTTTATTATTTCTTTTTTCTTTTTTATAATTTTTTTTTTTTTTAGAAATGAAATGGATAACAAAATATTAAGTTTGTTTTCAAAAAGGACGTGCAGATTTTATTCTTCGTTTTATCGTCACATTTTTCGTAAACTTAAGTTTGTTTCAACGAATTGAAATTATTTTTAATTTGTCTACAATAAAAATGTAAAAAAAAAATCCTTTATTTGAATATTTCAAATGTTTTGCTTTTATTTTTGTTTTTGCAATCGTTTGAAAACCTTGACGATAAAATGTTTTCATTAAAATTTGAAATAAAACTAAATAGCAATGTTTTATTGTATTATTAAATATGATGTAAAAAAAATAAAAGGAATAAATATATAAATATTAATATAAATTGTTAATATATATGACAAAAGAAAAAAAGCATTTAAATAACAAAGATTTTATTAAGGGTGGTGTTCATATAAAAAAAAAACAAAACAAAAAAAAGGGGTTTCGATGAAGGGTGAGTTGATGATAGTTCAAGTAGGCACGTGCCGATTCCAAACTAAAAAGCAATAAACTCACATACATAGTCCAGAATTCATCTCTTAATGACATGAATATTAAAGTGACATTATAATGATGATGCCGTCGGCTTATCGAGAGATCAAAACGATTACTATGAGATCAGAAGTAGGAGTAGTTGGGGGTGGTAGATGGAGATGAGTGAACAGAAGAGAAAAGGACAGTTGACTTCATATTTTTTGAGATAATATCTTTACCCACCCCCACTTTTCCCCTACCCCTTTTTCTCACTTTTTATATTTTATTTTATTTGTTCTTCTTCTTCGTTGTTTTTTTTTTATACATTATTTAGTATGGGATTTTGAAATATTTAATTCGATGCCATATTTCACGATCATTATTATCAGGTATTCTTTCAAATGAACGAAATAATTGCAATTTTTCTTTTTTCTTTTTTTTATTGGTATTTTTATTTTTTTTTTTAATGATAAACGTCTCATATACGCTGTATGAATAATAATTAATCCGTAATCCTTTTTAAAACCTGCTAACGATCGAATTACACTTTTTTCTCCCAAACTAATCCAATTTTTTTTTTCGAAGATATAAATCAAATATATAAATATAAATATATATATATATATTTATAACATTTTATGTGCATGAACCTCGTCGTTCTCTGTTTTTAAGCATTTGACTATCACAGGAAACGCAGAAATGGAACCAAATTTTTCTATGAAATTTTGGACAATGATTTTGCATTAGATAGGGTAATGGTATCGTTCAATTTTAATTAAACAATATTATAATTATTAATTAATTTGATTAATAATACTTGTAATTATGGTCGACTTACTACTATAAATTGTTTCATAAATTTATTGAAAAAAAAAAAGAAAAATTTTTTCATGAGTTGATACAAAAATAATTTCATCACGAAAATTTAAATTTAAAAATAAAAATAAAAATAAAACTAAATTAATTGCAAATAGTACTTAAATAAAAATACAACTGCGCTTCCTGATTTCGTTCGATATACAAATGAAAAAAATATTAACAGAGAAAGATGAAAATAGGGCGGGAGAGATAAAGAGAGAGCAATAGAGAAAGAGAAAGAGAGAATGTAAATGAGAAAATATAACAAAAAAAAGAAAAAGAAAAAAAAATCCTAATTTTCATTAACATGTATGAAATAATTCTATAATAATTTTTTTTAGATTTTGATTAATAAAATAATAAATTAATTAATATACTATAATAATTGTATACAATATAATAATTGTTCTGTTGTATAATTGTATACAATACAATAAATGTTGTGTTTTATAATGTTGTATAATTGTTTAGAATAAATATATACAAATAATAATTAATTATTATTTATAATAATAATAATGATAATGATAATGATAATAATATCTCTTTCTCTTGTTGTTTATTTGAAAAAAAAAAAATATAAAAAAAAAGATTAAATATTGGAAGATTAACGTTCTAAACACATAATAGATGACGATTATTAATATTATATGGGTGATTCTAGTGGGGCCTGTGTTCGGGGGCCGATGCGGCGCGGAGGCGCTCGGTCTGGGGCTGGGGCTGTCGCTGGGCCCGGCCTACAGGTTCGCTCTGCCCCCGGGACTCGCTGCCAAGACCACCCGCTGCCTTGTATTCGACCAAGGTAGGCCTTATTACTACCCACCAAAATATATTTCACATTATTATTCTTCTTCTTCTTCTTCTCCTCCTTTATCTTCTTCTTCATCTTTATCTTCATCTTAATATTCTAACAAAGTTGCTATTTGTCACGTTATTCACAATTGTTATATACTAATTTTTTTTTATATTATTTTTATTAGAACTTTTTAACTATGTATAACATTTTTTTTGCTCGCATTTTATATACAAATTTAAGCTTGATTAAAAAGAAAAAATTTACATTGAAAATTAAAAATCTCATGTTTTGTATAATTGAACAATATATAAAAATTATTAGTTATTTAATTAATAATATATATAATTTTATTATAATTTACTTCTATATAATATTAATTAAATAAATAAATATAAAAATAAATTTATATATTTATATATAATTTAATATTTTTTATAATATATTATGATATTTTATATTATTTATTATAATATAATAAAATTTTATTATTTAATTATAAATATTATTTAAAGTAATATTAATATAATTAAATATACTAAAAGTACTGTATACTAATTTCTAACCCTTATAATTCGTATTAAATTAATTTAACAATTAATAAACAAACAATTCAGTTACATACCAAATATTAAAATCTTAAAATCTTAACAACAAAACAAAGGTAGGAACAATGGAAAATTGTCTGTTATCTTTGAACTGAGATGAATGCACGTATCAAATCATGCATCTTACTAAATCGGAAGCAACTGTTAATTTCGATGCATTGATCTTCGGCTTATAGTAAGTAGGAACCTTCTCTAGGTGCCACGTGTTGTCACCACCAATACACATGTTACCAGGTGTATATATTTATGTGTACCTGTGTGCATCACGCCTTGTACACGTGGGTTGCTAGGTTTACTATGTGTAGGATAGGTAGTTGGTACTAGTTTAGATGACTATACACATGAGAGATATCGATCCATCTATCTTTCTCACTCTCACTCACACACACATTGTCTCTTATTCATTCTCACACTTGCTGGTTGCTGTTCATGCTGCCAATTCCTGTTTCTCTCCCTCTCTCTCTCTCTCTCTCTCTCTCATTGCATGCTTCCGGTCCATCGATCCCGCAAATCCAGCTACCAGATCGACTTGCCCGTTTGCACGGACTAAAGCCTACGAGCTATACTCATCTTCGTGTCCACAAATCTCCCAAGACTAACCCGTTACACCCCCACACCCCCCATTCAACCCCATACCTCTGGACTAGTAGTATCATCTAACACTAACGTTAGGGATTTCGTCAGGTGACTACTGTCTGCTTGCTTGCTTGCTTGCTTGCTTGCTTCAACCGTTTGCACCTGATCCTAGACGGATTCACGAGTAATTTGTTCCTTATATTATTAAAGGATCAAGGATTTAATATATTATGTTTTTTTATTTATATTATGCGTTTTATTTTATCGTCATATAATTGAATTATTAATTATTAAAATATATATATATATATATATAAATAATAAGCTTATATTATAATATAAACTATAGTTATATTATAATACTATAATATACTTAAACACAATATACTATAAATATATAGTTTAGTTATATGTATATATATTATTATTATATTATTTATATTATTTTATATTTATTATTTTATTAGTTATATATATATGTATAAACCGAATTAATTTATTAAACATTATATATTAACATCATTATTTTTATTATATTTGTTTCGAATCAATGAAAAAAGAAATTTTATTATATATAATAAAAACATGATCATATATTTGACGTTATATTCTTTAAAATATTTTTCAAATGGTACACAAAAGTAATTCAGACCCACATACCAACTCCTCGTAGAACATCTTTATAAAATTTCAATATTCTCTTTTGCCATAGAACAGTTTCGAATGACGTAGTAATAATAATAGTAATAGTAATAGCAGTAGTAGTAGGTAGCCACTCAGGGTCTTGGTAGTCACTGATTTGTTTGGCCCGTTCCGACTACAAATCTCATCGATCGAAAAACACGGGCTAGTGGAAAACATATTTCAATATCCGGGTATACTTTACCATTCTCTCACCAAATATAGATACGTTTTCAATATCCATTTTAGGAGAGGGAGAGGAGTGGGTGGTGGGTGGTGCATCGTCCTATACACTGATACTTTCGTGTGTGTGAGTGTTATTCTTTCAATTTTTTTTTCTTTTTTTTCTCATTCCCACCACTCTCTCACTCACTGACTTTTTTTTTTTGCAACTCTCGTTATCAGGTATGTATATATATATCGGTAGTGGGGTAAAGGGGGGTAGTATACATATGACCTGGATGAAAAGCTTGGCTCGTGTTATATAGCACTGTTGCACTTCTATCCACTGGTTCGGATAACAACGTGTTTTTGTGTGTACCTTACCCTTTCGATACACATTTTTTTTTTACCTTCAACCCATCCTTAACCCATTACCTCTTACGGTACGAAAATGCAGAAAAAAAGAAATTATTATTAATTTTGCATAGTGTATAATTACTGTAATTAATATTTACTTATATTATTATTATTATATATAAATTTATTATATTTATAATTTTAATTAAATTATATAATTTATAATAACATATATTATATAACATTTTTTTTTCAAATTATTTTTATATTTTATATATATTATATCATTATAAATAGTATTATTTACTAAATACCCCCTAACAAATGCAATAATACATATATACATATAAAAATAAAAATAAAAATAAAAATAAAAATAAAAAGATTCTACTTTTTCTTCATTTATAACAAAAATGTCGAGTGTGTGAAAGGGAGGGAGGGGGGAAGGTATTGGATAGTAGAGGCAACAGGTATTCGCTAAAATAAAATAAAATAAAATAAAAACAAAAACAAGACAAGAATAACAATATCTGATATATGAGGGTGAAGAGGGGGGGGGGTGGAAATCTTGCTACCGATAAAAAAGGGCGGTAAACGGGGGGTGTTGCAGAAACAAAGAAGACGAGTGAAAGTGTAAGGGGGTGAAGGATAAGAGGTAAATAACTTTGGCGATTATTTCTTTCCGGAAATACGAGGAAGCAACGGAATATATCGCCAAACTTCAAAGAGAAAATGAAAAAGAATCAAAGAGAGAGAGAGAGAGAGAGAGAGAAAGTGAGAAAGAGATAGTAGGAAAGGGCAGTCAGCGAGAAAATTGAATGCCCCGACGAACGATAGAGGAAGCAAATTCACTAAAGGATTTAGTAGTAGGCGTGTTTGGCAAAGGAAGTGGCTCGAAAGCCGATGTCCTTCAGTACGTGGGAATGAACACTCGATTAAAACTGACAGTAACCGGCTTGACTACTACTATTACTACTACTATTACCGATACTATCAGATTTTCACTTTGTTCCAATATTTTTCTCTATCTCGGTTATATATATACATATATTGGTATTATTTATAAATAATTATTATTTGATTTATATATTAGTAGATTTATATATTAGTATTAGTATAGGTACTATAATACTAATATATATTAGTATTATTTATATATTATTATTAATTAATATCTCGTACTCTACCTCTTAGTTTCATTCTCTTACTTTAGTTCGTTTTATCTCGTAGTATGTGTCAAAAATAAAGCTAACTATTAAGGACAGGGGGGTTAAAAGGTTTTTTTCGGTAGAATAAGCGACAACATTCGAGTGACATACGATCGATACACATACTGGGCTCGTCCAAGCCAATCGCAGTCATTCTAATCGCATCAGAAAGTGATATCTTGACTCGTTTAATCGAAGCAAGAAAAAAAGAAAAAAAAAAAAGGAACGAATAAAGGGAGGAAGAAACGATGACGAAGAAAGTTTTTCGAAAAGTGACGACTTTTCCTTCTTACCAAAAGTCTTCTCACATGTGTACACATACATGATACATGTATATGTTTGTGTGTGTGTAAATCTTTTCGACCCTCCATCACTGAACCTCCTTAAACGTTTGATTAATTCCTCGTTTTTCTGTGAATCATCCTAAGTTTACATCCATCACTTTAATTCAAATAATACTTATCTCAACGAAATAATAATCCTCTAATAATAAAAAAAAAAAAAAAATAATAATATAAGAAAATAATAATAATATCAAAAAAAATTTATCGATTCGAAAGAAAAGGTTCTTGCTAAAAATTTTTACATACAATTCCTAACAAGGCATTTATAAATTATAATATATATTGTAATTTAATTATTAATTATGTATTATATAATTTATACATCTATTCTAATATTATAATAAAAATTATTAATTATATATATATTATACTGGTATTATAGTAATTATATTAACACTAATATATTTAAATATTCTATAAATTAAATAATACTATATAAATTAAATAATAATAATATATGAATAATACCAATATACATTGGTATTATAGTAACTATACTAATACTAATATATATAGATATTCTATAAATTAAATAATACTATATAAATTACATTATTAAATTACTATATAAATTAAATAATAATAATATATAAATAATACAAATATATATTTTGGTATTATAGTAACTATATACTAATAGTAATATATAAATTTACTGATATATAAATCTAAATGAAATAATATCTTTATAAAGACATATTAATATTTCTTCTCTCTCTCTTTCTCTCTCTCTCTCTCTCTCTCTCTCTCTCTCTCTTTTGATATTTTAAACGTATTGTTTTTTTTTTTTAATTTCTTTGATATTCCTTCATTTTTTTCTATTTTTTTTACACTCTGAAGCAGGATATCATCAGTCGGAGGTCTCACCGGTGTAGAATCAAAGTGATGAAGAAAGGTTGAAAAAAAAAAAGAAAAAAAGAGAAAGAAAGATAGAAATATAGAAAGATAGAAAGAGAGAGAAAGAAAGAAGAAGTAGAAGAAGGAGGAGGTGGATATTTTAATAAAGAATATTGCGAGGCTTCTGCTCACTTACTTAGTCACACCGAACGATTACGATAAATTAACAGGCCTTG